GTGTGTGTGTGTGTGTGTGTGTGTGTGTGTGATTATAAAATAAAAAGGTATTGTTAGGAGTATTTGCGTGATGGAAAACCTCGTAGGCAAAGCAGTGGATTAATATTCATGTGATTCCTGCAGGATTTACTGTGCATATTAAGGAGGACGTCGTATGCCTATATCACAGTTTCCGGGTCTCCGTTAAAAAGCCAACAACCGCATTTAAATTTAAAACCAAAACAAGGCATAATTTGACATAATAATCAAACCAAGTGAACTTGCCTCTTATTCTTTGTTTTAGGTTTCCAAAATTCGCAACCACTACTCATTATAATGATACAATCAAAGTTAATGTCGGCAGTTTGTAATTTAAGATGTTCACACAACCTTATAAATCGCATATGTGAAACAAAAATATGAGAAACAGCACAGTCAGTGCCGTCCTAAGTACCAATAATGCCTTAGGGCCTAAGGCAACCACATTTGACCCCAAAAATTTTTTGAAAAATTGACTTCACATTTTTAACGTATAATTTACCTCATTCCTTGTATATATTTAATGCTTATTAATTGAGGTATCTACATTTTTATTAATATTATCGTAATTTTATTTATATAATTGTATTTATTTTGTTTTAGTGATATTTCAGAATTTATACAGATTTCATTACTTCGATTAAATTATAGAAAAATTACTTTTTCTATAAGACAATACAAAAAAGTTTTAAAAAAATATATATTAATATATATACTCGTATATATATATTAGCATATAATATATATATATATACTCGTATATATATATTAGCATATAATATAATATACAATTTGATATGTACTCATATTAGATATTTCAGTATAAAAGGAAAATTAATATCTAGGTATCTATAATAAAATACTGAATTTTTCTTAGTATCATTAATTTGTTCGTACGGTGACTGAATCATAACCTAGCTGTTATAGATAGTATTTTTACGCGTGTTGGTTGTTAACTAACTATGTAAATTCATAGCATTATTATTATTATTATTATTATTATTATTATTATTATTTTTAATTAATTATTTTGAATAGGTGTTACTTACTTAACACAGCGTTACCCGGAACCAAATCGCTCGCAAACACTTTGGCTTCTCCAAACTTCGGTGGATAGGAAAGAAAACTTTCGAGCTGCACAAACGAGCCGTTTACCATTTCTTTTAGTTTTGCTTTCAGCAGATAACTAGTCTCGACGTTTTCTGTAATACAAAATCAAATACTATTAATTGCGATCATACACGCATACACACGCACCAGCGTTTAAAAAGCTTGGAAGTTTTTCGCGTTGAACACGAGCGTAAAAGCGTATAACTTCCGAGTTTTCCAAACACCTTGAAATGTCTAGAATCATCTTAATTGAACTTTACTGAACGTTATGTTGTATCGTCCGTTGGCGTTGATGGGTATCCGTCCTAGGTATCCTTTGAACTGATATAAACCGGTACTCAATAAGTTTCGAAAGTGCGCGGTAAATCCGACTTCCATTTTGTTCGGATTTTGAAGTTTCGACCTATCGTAGTGCAAACACAACGCGTTAAACAAAACAAACGTACGACTTTGCACAGTAATCCGGTGTATGTTTCGTGACTGTACCAGTGCACACGTTGTATTTTTTTTTATGGTTCGTATTGTAATATAGATACATTATACAAATACGAAATGTTTTTCTTCGCAACAGTATACCAATTTTCTGCTATTCAATCAATACAATTTGATTATATTAAACTGAAGCTAAGCTCCAGACAACATCAAAATGTAATATACATATTATATACACATATATACTTTGATAATCCGAAGTTTGTGTTTGAGTCCTATATTAAAACGAATGGTCTTTGTTTTAAGATATATTTATAATAATCGTTTTTCTGTATTGCATGAAATTATTAAATTCTTATGTCACCGTTGATTTGGAGTATCATATTTGGATGCATTAAATGTTTCGAAATCAACAGTATTGCCACTTTACGAGAACATATTAAAAAATTATTTCTTATGTATTTTTAAAGTGTTATTAAGCAATGTACGTTGATGCATTTTTCATTTTCTTTTGGGGATCTAGATAGTCTTATCAACTTCATGAAATTTACACAGTTAAAGTATGGATTTCAATTTATTTAATTATTTTCTGATAAGCATGTTATGAAGGAATTTATATAACTAGTTTGGAGTAAGGACAGTAAGCCTTTGTCAAAGAACCATTAAAAATAAGTTATTGATTTCAATGGTTAATTTACCAAACAAACCATAACCGTCACCGTACAAATTATTTTCCATTAAAGTCCATAAGTTAAATTGTATGAAATAGATTCATTCCAATTGTCTTACTTGAATAAAATTAGGCAACAAAAAAGTTTAGCTCAAAATATTTAAATTATTTTTATTCGTTGTTCTAATATTCTAGAAATGCATTAATTATATTTCTTAAGGGAAAATATTTAACAATAATTCATTTTAATACTGTGAAAATATAAGTTGACCGTTTCAAAGATAGCTATTATATGATGAAAATCCATAGTAATTTTTAACTATAATGAAAAAATTAAAAATTGTACATTACTTTTCGCTTAGCTGTACTTTTCATAATTACACAAACACGAACCAATATCGCACAAAATGCACAATCAATAGTCCACATAAAATTAGTATTGCACAGATTTATAAAAATATACACCCTAATTATGTGCATAAAAATAATACGACGATAGCGCGAATTAAAATCGATTTTTCGTTGTTGATAATTATTTTTTTACAAATATTTTTTTGTCACTCTGTCAAAAGATATCATCCGATTTTTTATTAGTGCTAAAATAACGATATTTAGTTCTAAATTACTTGAAATATTTCCACGGTTATTTGTAAAAATTTGTGCATACTGAGTATTAACATTAAATATTACGTGTGATGGTCTAAGATACAAAGTCGATACATAACTATCTACTTTGCAAGAAACTGTTATCAAATATACAAATATAAATGATACAAATATTTCAGAAATATAAATTTTTAATTACCAATGTTAACATATAAATGTAACGTTCCCTGAAAGCTTACGTTATGTTTCATAAAAAAAAAGAGTAATATCGTTCCAAGTTCCAATGTAAATATTACAATGATAATAACTACATATCTATACATAGTGATCAAATATTTTAAAATCTGTGTGTTATTGTTCCATGTGACCACCAATTTTAAACAATGGTATGTACGTATAAATATAGACATTTATTTTTATTTTTTATTTATAGATCGAATAATAGGGTAATAAGGGTGGTTAAACATACAGAGCAGTAAAACATATATACATATATATGTATAAATACATGGAGTTCTTTCTCACCTGAGCGATAACACTTTGATTGTGGTCAAACCTTCGGTCATCATATTTTTAACTGATATTTTTCCTCCAATTAGTCGGGCTTTGTGCTCAAAATGCAAAGGATTATCTAGGGGCAATGGATCGAATTCATGTAACCCAAACTCATCGTTACCTGAAATTATAATTTTCAATCAAATCAACCGTTTGAGTTCGATTTCAAACGTCACACACCATACGACAAAAATACATAAATCGTTTTACATCGTTTTTAATGATTTACTCGCATTATAGAAATATCACGGTTTTCCGTGTTGTAGCAGATATATTAAATTTTAAATTGACAACTTTAAACACGCTTCTAATATGACGAATCCCAATGGAGTGCTAAATAAGTTATACATAAGTACATTTATTCAAACAGTATTTCTCAGAAAAAATTGATTTATGATTTCTCATACATTTTTAATGGGATATAGGGTTTAGCATAAAATAAATGAGTAATAACTATCTGTTATCAGAGAATTAATACCAATAATTTTTTTTTGGTGTATCCAATACAATTGTCGTTTAATTGTAAATATAAATTATACGATGAGACGATGAATTTTCACATATTTTACAAATATAATATAAATTGATTGGAAAAAAAAAATAAGGCCAATGGAAAGGGATTAAGCTTTATGAAAATTTCCAACCCCTTCGTGAGTACGCTCATACCCGGAGTATTGCAATTATTATTTATTCATCGTAACTTTTGATTAATTATTTACAACACACTCGTCCGTTTGCGTGCGTGTCTGGCGTAAGGGGGTGTACGATATAAAGAACCCGACGAGTTTGATTCAGTTTTTTTTTTTTAACTAGTTTCTTTCCGTTTGTCCTTAAAATAATGCATCGTGGTCTATAAAAAGATGGATCAGTATCATTGCAGTTATGATATCGACCGCGAGTCGCGCCAAAAGTCGTTTGTTCCTCATCCTCTCATTTGAACATGTTAATTAAACGCCGGCGAACGCGAGGAACGAAGAATAAAAACCGCGTATCGATCAGACCAAAACGATAAACAATTATTACGCGAAAGAAACGCGGCATTACATTAGACGTTTCCGAAGTACTGATTGACCAAAGTTATTACATTTTATACCGTTATTACCATCCGTAATTATTTTTCGTTTCGTTCAGGACGAGAATTGCGGCTCTATTGTGTAAACGTATCCGTGTTTATTCATATTCTAAAAAAGGGAGGGGGAAGGGAAACAAAATATTACCACATATTGCTAAACACTTGTAATTTCTGAAAAAAAAATGTCAACATTTTGGCTACGCGTTACATTATTTATATTATTGTTTTATATACTTAAAATAATTCAATAAATAGGGTCTCAACTTTATACTATATAACTATATCTATATCCAGGGTTTAAAGTGACAAAAAAGAGCAAAAGGAACTCTGATCCATATGTCTTATTCAGTGTTCCATATATTCCCGTATAATTGCTAGATAATTAATTATAAATAGGTAGGCATTCCAGATTTTGAAATCCTTAAATCATATTAAAAGAAGTTTTTTTTTTTATGTGACGCTCATATAGAAATAAAAATAAGTGTATTTATGTGCACTTATATGTAGCCCAATATTATTTTGTTTTATTTATATTTTATATATTTTATGTTTAAATGCTATCTTCTCGCAGCTTTTATTGAATGGCCGACCGGAATACCAACATGCCGTTAAAATCGGGACTATCCCAGTTAAACCGAGACAAAAAGAAAAAAAACTGAGGTATTATTAGTGAATAATTTCCTTCACAAATTATTCATGTGCTATAAAAAATATGTAAGCTTTTAAATTAATTACCTAGTGTTATAAATAACAGATCTGGAACATCTTTTAAGAAAATAAAACAAAATTAAAAAAGGTATACTCGTATATTATTACATAACACAGTTGAGCATTTTAGTAAACTTTTCGGGGAATGTTAAAGGGGATAATTTATTAGCGGTTTGACAGATAAGGAGACTGAATTCTCTTGCAGCCCCTCCCCCATTTTAAACCTTTTTTTATACCTATTAGGTATAATAGAAACAAAAATAAATAAAATCAACAATTTTTTTTAATTTTAATTCTTTAAGAAGGTGCGAATTTATACAATCTAAAAAGAATAATATAAGAAAACACTGGATTAGAACTACGAGTACGGAATGATTTTTTTTTTCGTTTTTTTTACTAATGTGGCTATTAGTACATCATTAACCACCAAAAGTCCTTACTAATATGCCACCTTTCGAATATTTCTTCGGTCCTAAATAAAAAATCTAGTCTCTAAGTTATGGGTTGACCAAATGAATCGTAAAAGACAAAAATCGCGACAGAAAACATTTTGGCCCATATATTATAATTATTGTTAAATCTTTGTGAGTCCAAAGCAGGCACGAATTTTTACTCACCTTTATGGAACTCCTCGATTACATCGTTAATTCTTTTGCGGATGCAAACGTCTATTTTTGGATCGTCCCTAAAACATAAATCTGTGTACGTGTATTCCGTGTGTGGTCCATCGGCTGAAAAACAATAAACAAATACGGATAGAATAAAAACGTTCAAACCAATATCGATGTACAAGTCATATAATAAAATGTGATTTTTTCTGACGTGATTCATTTGTTTCCCCGGTCAACCAATACATTATGTATTATGATTTTAAGCAATTACTCGTTGTAAAAACACATATTTATAGTAAAAATTTTAAATTATGATACATCAATATTGGACATCATATCAGTAGTTAATTATTTTTATCATGCAATGACGACTTAATTTTAAATCTAAAACTTTATAGTCTCTACTACGTTATAAGAAAAAAAAATAAGCAGTCGTATTTAAAAAACGGTGACAATAAAGTTAGTAAAAATAGCGAAAGACATTGCATAGTGTTTAACTAACCGTATAAACATGGCTAGTAAGTTGATAAGTTAATCAAATATGATAAATTTATTTTAAGTTGATTGAAAAGTCGAGTGATCATTGTTTAAAAACCTCCTTGTACAGCATCCACGCGGCTGGTAGCGGTTTTACTACGCTTTGCGGTGCACGCCAGAGTTCAGTTTTAATAATTAACATAATAATTGTTTTCATACCGTTTAAACATATTATTTTTACATCCGTGTACGAGCTCGGATATTTTTACCCCGTCTTGTGTGAGTGTGTATTCATTTGAGAGGAGTGTATGTGATTTACGTCTCGCGTACAACACGCAAAAGCGCATGCGCTGGTATACTTGTACACAATATTATTTTAGAACGTATTCGAAAATAACCAAATAGAAACACACGCCAGTGTGAAAGACGATATTATAATGTTTGTGTGTGTGTGTGCGTGTGTTGTAAGATTGTTTTCATCTCATTACTTTTTTTTTCCTCGTACAATCCAAGTTCCATGGCCCAACCAACGACGATATCATAACGATTATTATGCAGAATATAAAGGCTGTTCGGAACACAACAATTATGATTTACAATATAATTTACAATTTATAATACATAATATTAAATACACTGACGACAACTTTTATCGCTTTAATAATCTTTTATCTTTTTTTCTATTTCACTTTTCCCGAGAAAGACCAGTGCAAAATATTGCCGCGTAGGTAATACACACAATAATCAAGCCTTGATAATATACGCTCATTATAGTATAACATAATATAATAAAATATTATTATATACTATCGGCCATATATTGTTTACAGAAATATTATATATTTTTTATCGTTTGTGTGCAAAACAAAAAAACAATAGAATCAACTGTTAAGTGAAATGCTTTTTTAAAATTAATTTTCTATCACACAATACGCACCCGAAAACACATACACTCATACACACACGTCGATCTGTCAATACCTATACCCACTGTTGTGCCAAACGCGTTTGGATTTTACTCTCAAATTGTCGACGCTCAATAACAATTAATTAATTAATCCCACTGCATCATTGTAGGTTTATATTTTTACCATCCATTTAGAACTTCAACTCTTTGATGGAAAACGTACTTGGTGCCGTTATAAAGAATAACATTATTGCAAATAGGCCACCGTACTGAATATGGTTGGACATTTATTTAAACTAAATATTTCATCGGTACCGTTCGATTTCCGGATGTCTCCAACTTACTATTGCTTATAACCATTGAAACGGAATTATTTCAACATTATTATTACTAATTTCACATTAGATTTAGATCAGGATCGAGTTTTATATTTACAACGTATTGAAGAAAGGTAAAAATTACTAATTTTGTATACGTATTATATTATAATACAATTATAATAGAATTTATCGCATTTTAAATATATGAATCTACTATATTTATTATTTTTTTACAATGACTATTTATTTTATTGAGCTGTTGTAAGACTGCCATGAACTTAGTTACATGTTTATTATGAATTTTTGTTATTTTATACTGATTACTATAATTCGATTGCTTAATTATGATTTTTCATCATATTTCCAAAATATATAAAACATAACATCGAATTAAATTTAAATTTGGCTGTGATGTAACATGATATAAAAATTATATTCCAATGATATAATAACACTATTATAGTAGTAATAATACTGTAATGGTTATATTTAAAAATGGATTGTTTTTTTTTTTTTTTTAATTTATATGATATAAGTTTTCCACAAGGTTACTGTTTGTCATAGTTAATTTATTAAAAACACATTAAATATGCATGTTATAAGCATTTATGAACAAATATACAATAATCCTCGAAATATGCAAAATATGCAATATAAAATTTGGTGTTTAAATTCAGTGTGAATGAATCGTGGACATTTTAAACCTCTATTGACGTGCATACACTTAGTATAAACATGCAAGTGCATATAAATCAGAGCTCTAGTCATTACCAAGTTTTTTTTCAGTTATTTTAAACCCTTAAATTGTTATTATTATATATTGTTCATTATATACATGATTATATGAATACCTATGTAGTATATCATACCACCGCTACAAGGATGAACGGTATCGATAATAATGAGTGTAATTATTTTATACAATACTAAATCAAGGGTGTTCCCAAAAAGTTATCAATTGATAACCGACCAATATTTTAGTGATAATCGTCATCTTCAATTTCTTAAAAACATAATAAATTGAGAGAACAAATAATTAAGTGAAATTTAGTTTTAAGAAAAACTTAAAATACAAGTTTTCATTTGGTTTTTATTCAAAATACTTTAAATAATTATTTTTATTATATTTATCTAAATATGCATTTGATAAAATTTTCGACCTTTAACGTAAGTAGTTGTAAGCCTACTGTAACTTAATGCCTAACTAAATATAATTATAAAGTAATTTTTGAGGCTAAAATAATAAATTTCTATTTGAATTAAAATATTTGACATCAGTTGATAGCAAGTACGCACACGACATCTTAAATTCTTCCAAATGTCCTACTAAACCAGTATTTGCGGTATTTTGTTTTACAATTTATTGTAACTTAATATCATTATTTATATAATAATAAATATAATATATTATTAATTATTAATAAAATTATTTAATACATTTTTTAAAATAATGAAGATTTCTTTAAAGAAAGGCGTGTGTGCAAAATTCATTTTATAGACAATATAATAACAACTATACTACTGCAACGTAAAATTATAATAATATCAATGGTTGTAAGTAGGGCCTGAATTTCAATGCAAACTGCATCTTTTTTTTTTAATGATCTTAGACAATGCTTTTCAAATACATAATATGTTTTATTTAACAGATATTTCAAAGGCAAAACTTTTATTCTGAAGTTTTTCAGTTTTTTTTTTTTTTTTTTTTTTGTTAACACTTTTCATTGTTTTTTCATTTTAAGAGCATTTTTCGGCTATTTTATTTATTTTAATGTATATTTTTACAATATACGAGTATATTATATATTATTTGTACATATTAAAAATTTCAAATGTAAAGAATATGTTTTTAAAAGCACATTATGAAGATTTAAAGTTTAAATTTATTGATCCAACTCTTCCTTAACCAATACAACCAATACTAATACGTTGAGAACTTGGAAAAAAAGTTGCAGTATACTACTGTGAATGTTTTCAATTTATTGAAAGAGTATTCGATGGATTTGAAAAAAAAACAATGGCATAGCTATCAAAAAACAAAACATTTAAGGGCAGTCAAAGAAATTAAATCAAATGTAACATTTATAATAGCCAACTATGAAAATATAGCAAGATGCATAACTTCTAAAGTTATATCTTTAGCTGAGATAATTGTTTTCATAAATAATACCAAAACTTGTATTTCAAATAATACAAGTAATTATGAAATGACAATAATGAAAAAATTAGAAAATATCTTTAAAAAGAACTGTGGTTATACTGCAATGAAAACAATTTCGAACATTTTAAAAGTCAATAAATCTATTTTACAAACATATTAGGAGAATTAACACTAAATAATATTTGCCACTTCAAATTTGCTATTCAGTCAATACCATCGTCGTAAGTTAACGTTTTCAATTTGCCATTTTTTTTTTTTTTTTTTTTAATAAAATTAGAATATATAATATATTATATAATTTATTAGTATTTATAAGTGTAATAAAAGAATAAATTTCAAATTTTTTTTGGCTGTTTTTTAGTGAATTTTTGTATGGTTTTTAATGGATTTAAATAAGCGTCCTAATTATAAGACAAAATAAAACTCAAAGTTGTAGAGCATAACGTGAATATTATTAAGTCGACTTTGTAGATTACAATTACCGTTAAATGACAATGAAAATTATATTTTGCTTGCGTGTCAATTGTTATTGTAATTATTTTATTATATAACAATTATAAATTTATAATTGTTTATTGTTCTTAAAAATATTGATTTATTTATAAAAAGTTAGTACAGATTTTTTATCCTGATCATTCACAACAATGCAGCTTTCAAAACTTCATTCAAACTTCGCAGCAGCCTGCATTACATTAACATGACTTCAATATACATTTCATAATTTATAATACAACAGATCTAACTTAAACACACACACACACATATATATATATATTTTATAACTAATCGAGTTTAAGTGATATAATATGTTTTATATAACATGTATGTTTGTATCACTGACAGCATAATATACTAATACAGTTCATTTCCTATAATAATTATTTTCAGATAACCTAAAAAGGTCACACATTTTGTATAATATAAATGCATAAGCTTTGAACATGTTAAATAATTTGTACGCTCATTAATAATTAGCCTGTTTGATTATAACTTTTTTTTAGAATATTAGATAAGTATTATAAATAACGTGAATACGGATCATTTTTTTTTAAATATAATTTCAATTGAGTAGCAAATTAAATATTTCCGATAATTTCACATTTTTTTAATATTAAATATCTGTTAATTAATTTTGATATATATTGTTCTATAAAGTTCAGCTGCAGTTATTTCTTATCAAACTGTTAATTTTATAAAACAGCGAAAATTATAAATATACTTGAATGAAACACAATTTTAACTTCACCTATTCACTTAAATTATATTATTCACAGATCATCGTAGAAAATATATAATATACAATTTGATATTTAAAACCATCGAACGGTGCAAATTGATAAAACTATATTAATATATAGAGTAGATTAATAGGTAATAATATGTAGAGTAAATAGCGGCACGATACGGGTTTTATTGAAGAAACTGCTTCATAACTAGTAGTGTTGTATGATAGAAAAGTTTAAAAAAAACATTAAACCAAATTTCATAAGGGTTGAATATGATTTTTTTTTTCTAAACAATTTTCTATATTGAATAATTACAATAATTACAATCTATAAAAAATATTATTTCATATATATTTTTATCTTTAGAATTTTATGGACGTAAATTTTATGAAAATGTAGACTATAACGATATTATTGAAAATCACGCAGAAATAAAAGCCCGAAAAATTAATTTTTGATGAATAAAATGGTTTTTAGTGTATTTTTAGTATTTAAATTCATATGTTTTATTAAAATGTAAATTCGTATAAATATGAATAACTGACGATTAAGGAATTATATAAGTAAATAAAGAAAAACATGTTAATTGAGTCTACTGTAAAATTATTTTATTTTCTTTACCTGGCGAGATTATGATTTTTTATAAACACAAACTCCTTATTTTAAATTATAATTAGGGAGGTACCTACCAAATTTGTTGTGTGATAAGAATTATTGATGTCATTATATATTTATAGATAGATCATAGATATAAACATATATCTACAAGGTTTTAAAAGTATTTTCGCCCTGGACTTCGCAATTTCTAAGGACGGACCTGGTTCAACGTATAAGTAAAGGGAAATTTCCGTATCACTTGACTGACGTAGTTTACTAGTTACTGTCTATTTGTACATGACTATGTGTGATATATTATATGCAATTCCTTAAATACATTATTCATACGTACTTTACACTAGTTTTACAGAAAAACAAAATAATAATACTATCACGTCAAATCGACGCTTATAAAATGTTTCAGAAAAAACTCCATCAGTACAACATACAAAAAAACATCGATGTCGATTTATTATTGCTCAGATATTTGACACATATTATGGCACACGATTCGTATATACCGCGATTGCATTAGAGAATTATTTTTTTCAACCATTAATGTATTCAAACAACGCTTGCGTATAAGAGCAAATTCTGAAATTCCATTAAATGATTTTTTAGAGTCATATCGGAATGTTTGAGTAAATAAAACACGGTTAAACTTAAAACCTTATTGTGAATATTAATCTGTTTTCAGGAATCATTATCAAAAATTTCATCTTACAGTCGACTTCAGTTTAGAAAAATACAATTTACTTTAATTTTTTTTTTAAGCAATATGACGTATAATATACGAGTATTGTGTACTTTCACAGTCAAATTTTACTCGATACGAAATATATCGTTTTTTTTTTTTAAACCGTAAAATCGACAATAAAACTAATTATAAAAACATTAGAAATGTAATTTTCTGTTTTTAAAATGTATTTTGATGAACAAATGTAATTTTCGAAAACCTAATCATCAAATGGAAATGTCCCCGTGGATTGAAAACGTTTGGAAACATATCTATTGTCCCGCACCGAACGGGGTTCGAGCGGTTCAATTAGTAATATACATAATATAGTTCGCGTCACGATATTATCTGTGGATACCTGAAGTGTGGTAATACGGTACGTAGACCTACGACTCGTGCATCATAATACAAAGTGTCCCAAGACAATTCAACAAATGCGATAAATTTTGTTCTATTTATTATTTTTAATTATTTATTATTATTATTATTTTTTTTTTAATAAATATTTAGTATTTGCGCTACAAATAAATTGCATTAATTTTTTTTATGAATTTTTGGAATTCAAATTTGAAAATTTGAAATTTTATTCTACAGTTAAAAAAATATCCTAAATATCCATTTTAAGTTGAAATTTAACAAGTTATTTTAAAATCATACTTTTTCTAAAGATCCTATTTACAAAATGGCAATTTTAGATTTTTTTTTCAAACTGAAGAATAAAATTTAAAATTGTCAAATTTGAGTTCTAAATATCTAATAAATCTTTAAATACCATTTGGCTTTAATGCAGGACATAGGTATTTATTAAAAAAAAAAAAATGCAATTCAAAAATAATAAACTAGACGAAAGTTATTCTGTTTTTCGAATCATTCTGAAACACCCTATGTACCATAAAACATATTATTACCCTTTACTTACCGGAACGGACGAAAATATTTGACGAGACGAACAACTCCAACGTCCAGATCGTCAAAAAGATATTGTACTTGTTCATCGTCGTTGAGACTACAGAACGAGGGTGTGCAGATTATATACGTAAACGATGGAGGAACAAGGAAAACAATTAAAAAAAGAACTACTCTTCTTATAAAAAAAATAAAAACGATATGCGTACACGCGTTTTATTGCGAATCGTCGCAAACGAGATTCCGTATTTCTCTCTCTCTCTCTCTCTCTCTTCTCTCTCTCTCTCTCTCTATCTATCTATCTATCTATCTATCTATCTATCTACTATTCGACGGTCAAACGCTTTCGGACCAACCCCCGTGCTCACCACTTCCGGTGTACGAACACCACACGTATTTTCGGTTTACGCGTTGCAGTGAAAAACGTGTGCTCGCTCGAAAACTCTAAGTCGAATTACCGTCAAGACTTACATCGCGACCGTTATATAACCACTGAAAGACTAGCCAAACTTGGTGCACGGGTAGGACCCGGTCCTGCTCGGATCACCTTTAGGTCGACGTCGCGTCCGCGGGGTTCTCACTTACCGAAACAATAGGCGGACATCGCCGATCGATCGATTGTAGTGAATAATATAAATTATCATCGATCACTGACGCCGCCGAGTCGGTATATAATATATTTACATTTCTATTGATCCGCCGCTATCGATCGACAACACAAACGGCAGTCTCACACTGAGTTACGTTCGTAATAATATATTGTGTTCGGTGAAACCCATTTTTTCGGGGTTTTTTTTTTTTTTACATACGTCTAATTGTTATTCGTATAATACTATGGTCGTCGTTTTGTTGTTGTACGATTGTTTCGCGCCGGCGAAAAGCTGCCGGATACCGGAAGGCTCGAACGCCGTGAAATAATAATAATGTACACCTGAATACGCTGTATATTATGTGCGCGTTCAGTTAGCAAACTCGAGAAAGTTCAACATTCGAAATGGGGGAAAACAAAAGGAATAAAACGAAAATCAAGAATGAATTATATTGTTTGAATGAAAGAAAAAAATGAGCGCGCTTCACAGCGACAACATACGATAGGACAACGATAAGGTGCAGCAGTATTCCTCTGGCACTCGTTTCGGAAAACGTCATAAAAACATATGTGTGTGTGCGTGTGTATGCGTGTGTATGTAAATTAATATATGTAAAAGTAATAAGCAAAAAACCGTGAGTCTCGTGAAATCGTTTTCAATGGACATTTGTTTATTATTCGTGAATTATTAAATAGACCAATTTATAAAACATTGGCTATACATTACACAATATTTTTATTTTTTTCTTTTACTTATTTTTCTGTAAGATTATATTGCATTTGCTTGGTCGGTGTTATATTATGTATCTTGTGTGTGTCTGTGTTAAACTTATATAATTATCAATGACGATGTCGTTATGATGTACATAGCCCTGACTGAGCTGCATGAAACTACTATAATACAACCATATTATTTTAAAACATCTCCATTTCGTACTTAATAATGAACAAAGTTCAATTTTCGTCGATCATTTACTTCGTGAAATAAGTAATATGTTTAAAGTGACTTGTTTTTATTTCAATTTAATTATGGTAAGTGTGAAAATGAAACATTAAAAAAATAGTTTTGAAAACAATTTAAAAATATTTAATCGTACTATCATCATGTTCAGAACATGCGATTCTCGGATAGGTATTTGATTACCAATTTAAGCTTGGTAATTATTAGCTAAAGGCGCTCAGACGTGATGATTACACTAGATTGTCTGGATTTTTTCAGCAAATTGTTCTGGAATCCTGATATAAAATATATCGTAATTAAATTACTATATAAATGGTCCATCATTTTTTTTTCTAATTCCTTTTAAGAGTATTTATAAAATTAAAATATTAAAACTATTAGCTTGACTATTTTCAAACAAAATTAATTTTCATTAGTTTTTGAAATCTAAAATTATTAGGAACGTACACAATTTTTTCCCCTTAAAAACCCTAATTTTCATTATGTATAAAATACTTATCCAGTATATTTATTTTAAAAACCTAAGATTTTATTTGAATAAATTATGATTATATCCAGAGTCATTATTACTGTGTTTTGAATTGATAATTAAATGTTTCGTGCTCCCGTTTAAATGAGACATATAATATTCATAGATTAATAACAAAGATACACAAAGTTCAAAAACGCATGAGTCGCATAAAATTGAACAATAGTTGTAATCTTAAAATATTTATATTATTTACGTCATTTAAACCCTGTATATGTTGTGAGACACCCGATACTTAAGTATTTGCAAGCTTGCAGGAGGACTTATGTATAAGAGACAGCGGTATGTGCGTTAGTCAACAATGTTGATTCTTGGACCAGTCGGTCCCACGGTAGAGATAGTCTAGACCTAGTCCCGGCATAAATTGCCCACTCTTCAATTTTGATTAAGCTATTAAATTCAATTTATTGTTATTTTTTCTTTTAAATAAAACAAGAACTTGGTAAAAATCGTTCATTTTCGTTATCTTTGAAACTTTTCCTACACGCGTCTAGTGAACAAAACGACGACGTCGCACACATCATCTACGAGTTTAACTTAACGCGAACGAATTTCGAAATTATTTGCTTACTCCGCGAATACATAATATCGAAGCTCGAGTCCAGACGAAAATGTTACCAAAATATCATATTGTTGGTTTTTGTTGTACACTGAACGTTCCAAACGTTCATCCCCACTTCTCGAACGACGAACTCTGCGCACGCCACTATGGGCACTATATGTATTATTATACAAAATCACGTTAAAACACTTTCGGGTTATGATAAATTTTATTTTTAATTCGTACACTGAACTTGTGTACCAACAAACAACAACAATAAACGCAACCGTGGAAATATTCCACATTATATTGTACGATGCATTATTGTATACCATATTATAGTGTACTATTATCCGATACGTCGTGTCAATTTAATTTCAAAAATATAATGATTAAAAATTTCACTTCGATCTGAAATAGTACACTTTTACATGAACTATTACTCTCAGAAAATTATTTTTATGCTAATGTAAAACAACTGTAATAATAAAATACCGACCTAACCAATAGCGGTTTAGAATGTTGATGAAGGAAAATTACTATTCATACAAAACATCATGCGGCTGTATAAATATTAACATAATTCGAATAAACTCATCGAACAGCAGACGAGTAAGTTGTTTATTATGCACATATTTGTACATTAATTTATATTAAAAGCGTACGAGAAAAACAATTAAGTGTACTATAACATTTTAAAAATTTTACTTTTCCTTCATGTAATTTTAATTATAATGACAAATGAGACCGAGATAACAAGGCGCCGTAAATAAAGTGTGTGCATTTCTATTGACGAACAGTATTCAAATACGTAAATTGCTACAGTTTAATCGTGTCTAGTTGTAATATTAACTCATAACGTACTCGATTGATTTTCATACAAAGTCTGAGGTAGACCTCAACTCGTTGAAAACAAAAACACATCGAAAACAGTCCACCAGCGCCGTAGTATACTATTGCATGTCTAGTGCCTACATAACATACAAATATAGCACATGTATATACCACGAACAAAACTAGGTGAAATTTGAGGCCAAATCTAAAAATAGCGAAAATATAAATGATCCATCCCATCTCCTTGGCCGACGGCGAACGCGACATAAAACCGAATCGAATGACTACTACACATGTGAAGGGATACAAATACAATTTTATTGATACTAAGATTCGTTTACAGTTATATGTGATAAATAATCGACTGCACGCATTAAATATGTATACATATAAATGGTTTGGCTAAACGTTGGGACTCGAAAGAATAAATAAATGAACTCATACTTGACCGCGCTCTCATCCCTTCCGCCGGACGGAAACGTTAACCGTGGCCCACTTTGACCAAATTAATTATTATTATTATTTTGATTATTACGATGATCGGACAAAACACCGGCTACGACAGTGACGATTCGGTAAACGGCGATTGGGGCATATATTCGTCGTGGCCTCATCGCACGCGCGTATTATATAATATCCTTGACCTATCTAATTAGACCGATTGCGAAGAATCGACGGCGGCCGTGCACACAGGTGTTGATTTCTGCGACGGTGTACGGCGCTAATAATAATAATATTATGTTCCTCATTTAGAAGACGGTGGCGAGTCGCGGAAAACGGCCTAATATAGGATGGTAGAAAAAAAAAAAAAACAGAAAAAATAAAAATACGCCAACGTTTTTTTATTACATGCACATCGCGCGTGTTATAGAACACGTTCATAATAACAATATACACATGAAGAATTGTATACATGCGAACGAGCCCTGCCGCACCGTAAGTCGGACGATGTTTAAAAATAAACTGCGTCGTTGCCACCGTTCGTCCGAGTTGAAAATCATATGATGCCGCTTGGTATTTTGCCCTGCGCCCGTAAATTTGCGAAAGTATACGTGTTAGTGTATGTGTGTGTGTGTGTGTGTGTGTGTGTGTGTGTGTGTGTGTGTGTGCGTGCGTGCGTGCGTGCGTGTGTGTATATGCATGTGCATACGTGTACGTGTGTGTGCGCTCTCGCCGCGTCCGGCTAAAAGTAAAAGCTTTAAGCTATAAATACACGAATCCGACCAATCGCGAGCCGTGTTGTGTGTCAAGTGTAACGCAAGTGTCTTCCTATGCGAAACAGTGACGAGTCCTGTTCAATCCGGTGAAGTCCTGCGAAGTCAACTGCCGTCCTCGACTTCAGGTTGGTGAAATGTTTTTAACATTCATGTTATATTTTTTTCTACGTTTTTCTAACACAACATCTAGAACTACACAACGCTATATCTGTATCGATATAGTAATGATAAAAAAGTCATCGACGAGCGATCTTATAATTATTATTAGTATTTTTTTGATTATTTTTTTTTTATTCTAACAACGACGATTGCCATTTTTTATAACTCCAAACGATCACTGCCGATGCACTTGTACAATAATAATCATAACACAGCGCGTAAACGTGTTCGCGTACGCTACTGCTTCACCACGACCGCGCCCGCCACCTTGACCACCATCGTCGCTCCGTAGTGCGCGTACAGTCATTACAAAACGTACATCGACTTTTGTCCGTTGGTCAACTTGCTGTATAATACCCCAACGGCATAGCAAGTCGGAAAACGTCTACGGGGAGAAACCGCACCCGATTTTGTCGCGCGACCCCCGTCCACACTAGGCTGCGTGCAAAACGCCAACGCTGCCATGTCCCTCCCGCCCGGAATCGCTGTGCACGTGCTCTCGTAAAACGTTGATGGTATTTTTTCTATACGTTTCAGATCGTTTCAGTTCACCCGAAAAGCATACACACGACAAACGCCGCGACAACCATGGCCGACGACGAAGTGAGTTTTTTTTACAAAAATATTTTTTGAAACACCGCATTACCATGCGCGCGCACGGTCGGTACTTTGATAACATGTCGTGTTCGTTGGTGTGCACCACCAGGCTAAGAAGGCGAAACAGGCGGAGATCGACCGCAAGAGGGCCGAGGTGCGCAAGCGTATGGAAGAGGCTTCCAAGGCCAAGAAGGCCAAGAAGGGTTTCATGACGCCGGACAGGAAGAAGAAACTCCGTGTAAGTATGACGGCGTACGGTTGGGGTTGACGGTTGGGCGGTGTACTCTACTGTGTGTTTGTCTGTTTCTCGGGCGCAGCTGCTTTTGAGAAAAAAGGCGGCCGAGGAGCTGAAGAAGGAACAGGAGCGCAAAGCGGCCGAGAGGAGGCGGATCATCGAAGAACGGTGCGGACAACCGAAGAACATCGATGACGCCGGCGAAGGTAAACGATCGCGTTTCGAGATCCGTTCGCATTCTTGGCAACGGACCAGCTTCGTTATAATTGTTGTAACCAAGCCCACGCGCACCGCACGCCGACGGCGTCGGTGACGATATCATCATTATATTTATTTCAATTTTTTTTTCACCCCCGAAACGAAATAGATACGATTAAGCGCGTGATCAAAGAGTATTACGACAGGATCACGAAATTAGAAGATCAAAAGTTCGACTTGGAATACCTTGTGAAAAAGAAAGATTTCGAGGTTAGACGGTCGTTTTAACGCTTAACTGTATAATATTTATAAATAGGTCATGGCTTTTCGACATCATGATTCCGCGTTTAAGCTTTTTTTTTCTCTCAACACACGCTGACTTTCAGATTTTCAAGAAATTACTTACATTTTTTTGCTTTTTTTTTTTATTCTTTTGATTTCGTTTCGCTTCAACATATATTTATTTCATGTTTTTTTTTTTTTTGGCTTTGTGACAGTCTTTGGACGCACGCACGTACAAAGGCATCCATGTTTTATTTTATACGCGCACATTATACACGCGTTGGCTACACTAACGCTTATTAAAAAAATAAAAAAATAAAAATCGCACTCTTATGTTGCCAAAACGGCTGACAGTACAGATAATATACCATAAAGCTCTAGATATACATTTAGTTTTTCGCGCAAACGAAGAATGTGCATAATATTATTTTTCGCGTATAAAAAAATATTACAAATTAGGAATTTTTCACCCGATTATTTATCGGTATTACCAGTACGATAGCGATTTTTACAAATAAATAAAATATGTTATGAATCTGTATAAAAAAATATGGGTTAAACGTTGTAAAAATAAAAACCGCAACAATTTGGAGACAAGTTAGTCAAGTATTCAACGCTTTTCGAATTCGATCGAGAAGCAGTATTCCAGTATAATGTAATCAAATGCGGTGTCGCCGAACGTATCCGAAATATTGCGTTCCACGTTGCCCTTTTTATTTTACTATCTCATTGTATTGATGTTTAGAGGAGCTTACGGAAATCTGCGAAGAACTATGGAAACGGATATGGCATATTGAGGGCGTAAAGTTTGACTTGGAAAGAGATATCAGGATGAAAGTTTTTGAGGTAACATTTACATCACACCTACCTATGTTGCTACCCACCGCAGCACGTAGCGGTCTGTTGCATCGTTTAAACATTTCCATCACGAACTGCTGTAAAAATAAAAAATTAACTGAAGAGTACCGGATAATACTATCGGGTTTTGTTTTGAAGAAAAAAACTTTTCGTCATTTTCCAATTATATTTTTCATTGACAAATGCACATACCTATATAATAAAATATACACTTTTTCACTCTATTAAAACTTTTCGTTCAAAAACCATATAACGAATTCAAAAGAAACGTCTTCAACGTAGATATACTTTATGCACACACAATAATTGTATTCGAAATCTTAAAACTAATTGATTCGAATGGAATGGTGTAATTAAATATGGAATCTATTTTCAGTAACGCGATCTAGTAAACAGACCGTGTGCCGTTTCGATTGTCGTCGAAACGGAAGGGGGCGAACCCAGTAAATGTAAATTTAGCCACTCCAGTTATAAAATTGCACGCGATACCGACTTTCGTTATGATTGTCAATCGTCTAGATTCTAGACTCTAGGATATGATATTTTGTTCCACGACTGCATCCAAAGTTATAATTTAGCGAGTTTTATCAAACATCAGCCTCGTACAGGAAAACACAAAAAACGCTACTGGAATTGGAATTTTTTCGCAATAGGCTGGTTCTTTTTTTTACGCTTATAATATATACAGAATATACTCGTGCTCCCAGAA